ATGAAAAATCATGAAGAATTTGCTGAGATTTGGTAAACGACCTTAGGCTTAAAATGGGCGTTACATCAAGTAATAACAATATCTTTGAATGATAAAAAGACAACTTAAGAGGACATTACCAAGTTTGTCATCACTAAACAAATTTCATGGCGAACGCTTTGCAAATTTATTGGTATTTGCCTTGCGAGAAATCATATAGAATTCAATTAGGAATTTGAAAGGTTTACAATTTCAAAGCCATTTCTTCCATTCTTCCAACATAGCGCCTCTTATTTGTCTGTTAATAGTTTAATCACATATTTCAATAAATTTGAAGTAAATTTTGTTTCTTACAAAACAACATTAGTGTAAGATAAATATAAATTAGACAAATAATTTCTAAATTTAAAATAGGTCGTTTGCATTAAAGCAACTTTTGCAGGTTGATGATAGCTGCAAAATGTTCCGTTTAAAGCAGAACTTTCATCAACCTCTACAAAACAGTTCAGAGTGTTTAAAATAAAAGAAAAAACATTGAAAAGAATTATAAAAACATTCGATAAACATCTAAAACATCAAAAGGCGGAGCTGAAAATGGTTAGTCTATAAGATTTAGCATGTAGTTCTAGTTATTATTAATTTTGAAATTTAAATTAAATAATGTGAAAAATGTAAAATTATCAAATAAATGAATTAAAATTTTAAAAAAAATTATCGTTGTTTCATTTATATTTAAATGGTCAATTATGAACCTAATTTACTTGGTATAAGTCGACCAAATGGTTCATCATATATAAATAATAATTTTTATAAATTAACTTAGAATTATTTTCCAATGAACGAATACATAAATTGATTCACTTGCATTTTTGCATTTGTTTACTCCAGAAATATGAACAGCTTAAAGTGTGTCACAAAAATGCAACATAAGCGAATTAATGTAAACAACGACGACACACTTCAAGGTCTGGATTATGTAATCTGTGATATCGTTGTCTATGGTCAGCTAAAACAGACCAACACAGAAACACGATTATGCAGATGCAAGTGAATGAACAATGCTATGTTAATGAATGCACATTCATCCAAACATGAATGTGCAAAGAACGAATAAAATATTGAATGAAAATATATGTACTTAAAACTAAACTATTTATATTTAACTTAATAACAATAATAAATACTATATTTATTTTTATGTAACTCACATTTGTTTAGACTAAAATATGACTGATTTTAATGACAAATTCCATTATGCCCTCTCCCAACATCTTCGGGACTACCCGAAGTTGTGGCGTCTGCGGTGGGGGCCACAATTCGGCCAGTTCTTGGTACTGGCCGAATTGTGGCAGGAGCAAGTGTCGGCAAAAAAAATTGGAAATACATTGAAAGAAATCAGAAAGCGTCTAAAACGGCTGAACAAGAGATTGTGCACCTCAATGAAAACTACCCGGGATTCGAAGAAAAGGACACATCAATCCAAGAGGATAGCGACGGCCCGTCCACTTCTGCGACCGCCGCGCATGCGCAGAAAAACGAAGCGAGCCCTGAAACCGTAAACATCAACCTAGCTGAAGCCGTAGTCTCGACAACAACGGAAAAAACGTACGCTGATATCGGGGCGTTCGTAGAGGAAGCCATGGGGCCAATCCAGGAGAATAGCCTTCTCCAATTTAGCAGTTGGACAGAAGAGAAAAACCAGGTCGTCAATGGAGATTGTGGAAATATTGGGAAAATTGAGGGAGTTCTTCTTCTATCGCGGAATGGTCCCGCGGCTTTACGTCCGACGATGACTACAGCCTCATGAACAAAATGAAGTACGCGGCCACAGTCCGCGAAAAAGAAGAGTTCGAGCTATACGACATCGATGGGGAGGTCTTCCGCGACGTAACTTTTTATCCCATAACCGCGATAGAAGAAGGCTACCTGCGGCTGCTCACAGGATACGCCATGGCCAGGCACATCGATGAGCAGCTGCAGTGTCAGGCGTGCCTCGCTGACCTAAGCCAGTCAAAAGAAGATGCCTGCGAGGTTGAGAACGGCCGACTAATCACAAGGCAGCTTTTCGACGGCTGGATCCTTTCCTCGCTGCACCTGAAACCGAGGTGCACGAAGCGTTCTACCGGAGGTACGAATTATTTTACTTTATTTGACGCATCATATGGTGGACAGCGACATCGGCCGACGGATACAGTCCACCGTGGTTGCGCGCGTTGAGTTTTTCAAGCAAAGAGGATCCTGCAGAAGCGGCAGTACCCACCGCGGAAATTTATTTGGGTACGCGCTCTTCTTGCTGCTAAAAGTAATAAATTGGAATGAAGAAGAAACCGAAAAGATAAACATATCGTCATACTAAGAGTTCAGAGTCAAATCCTCCGCACATCAACTCCTCCGCGCGTCATAGGCCTTGGTTTTGTCCAAGTTGCGGTCTATGCATGAGCATGCAACACTCTCTGTCAAAGCTTTCTAAATTGAAGAATATGTACCATCAAAGTACCTACACACATTTTCCCCGATGAAGGCACTTTGGTTGTGGGTTAATTCATATTTTATAGCATATGATTCTCACCAGGTGTAAGTTATGAAGAAGAAAAAACATTTGGATATAGGCTGACTAAAATAATATCTGCATCTTTAATGTTATTTAAATGTTAAAATAGATAGAGTAAAAATTAAAAAGGCAAACGGCAACGATCGAGTACGCTTTGGTACTAAAATTTTGCGAAGTTTATTTTACTCAACAAAATAAGCAAGAAAATATTAAATTGAAATTCTCCAAACTTTTGGAGAAAATCATTTATCTACAGTTGCGGCGGCCGAGTCTACGAAAAACCAAGAAATGTTTTTTTTGAAAACCTCAGAAAGGCCGCGGCCGTTACCATTGAAACGACAGAGCTGTAGACAACCTCATTCAACCGCAGACAGCTAACGTAAATCCATTTATACCAGATAGTAAGTTTATCGTCTTTATTGCAGAACTTTAATATACAATATTGTGACGCACAGTGTCTCATAGGTTTGATGGCTCACAGAAAGAAACGCTACCGAATGCCAGGCATTGAGAATCTCAATAACCGATCTTTGCAATTATTTCCTACTACTAACGACGATATGTTGAATGATGCAGAAGGGAAAATATCCCTAAACTAAATCATGCTCCTAAAATACTGACTCTACAGGATACCAATATAAATTGTTATAAAAAGGAATTTCTAGAATTAGCTGTTATACGCGTTGGGCAGTTCGGGAAAGTCTATCAGTATCTAAATCGTTTACATGGCTGCATTTACGCAATTAAGAAAAGTATTAAACCGGTAGCGGACAGTTCGTTCGAGTAAGTATGAACAATGAAAGAAAAAAATATCCGTTTTTAAACAGTGTCCTTGTTTTTTTCAGAAAACGTGCTTTGAATCAAGTATGGGCTCGCGCTGTGTTAGCATTATTCAAAATGAGTACTGCAATGGCGATAGCTTGTAATCTCTCCTACAGGAACGTTCACTGGTAGAATCTGAACTGAAAATATTACTATTACATGTAGCCGAGGGACTAGGGTATATACATTCCAGTGATTTGGTTCACATGGATTTAAAATCAAAAAATATCTTTACAAAAATGCCTTCAGCGCATAAATCGTCAATGCCACCAAATGTCCGAGACAACCGGACCCATATTCGATGGAAGATTTAACATTACTTTTACCAGTATTTATAGCTATTGGAGCATTTGTTCCGTTATTATTTTTTTTTTGTAAACTTTCATTTAAGGAAACGTTGAATTCCTAGTAACAAATTCCTGCGCTCACTACATATGTTCTATTCTATCTCGTATTTGTTTTCATATATCGAATTTGTTGTTCCTTTTTTTTTCTTTTTCTTGCTAGGTTAACTGCACATTAAATATTTAACATGCACAAGAGTAATGTTAGTGTTTTTTTTGCATGAAGAATTTGTGAATTAATGACAAATATGACGGTTACGGTGACTATTAATTTAGTTTCTAAATAAACATTGTTCCTTGGCAATTAAAAAAATTAATTTCCTATTTTTACTTCTAATAAGACTGCAGTAAGAGTTTTTATTAAAAATATTCATGTATTATGCCGTTATTATTTTTTAAATAAATATTTATAGTACTTGACGGACTATTAAAGTTATTTGAAGGGGACTTTCATTTACTTCATCCACATTTAAGAGCAAAATATAATTTTTATTATGAGCATTTTTTTTTGAGGGGCCAGTAGTGGTCAATGCCTGGCGATCTTGTTGATTTGACTTTGGAAATTGCATACTCCACTTCATACTTTTCCAAGAGAGAAGTAAGAGGCGCAAAGCCAATAACGGAATGCATCATCCTGTCCAGGCAAGAATGTTCCCAGTAATGCATCCAGACACTCTCTCCAAGTGGATGGTACTCAATTTGAAGTGCGAATACCGCTTATCTCCAAGGATTTTCTCCCCTTGATAACACGGTACACCTGACCCCAAGGATCACCGCGGTGTCGGGAGACAAAATTTCTTCAATCGTCCTCTTTAGTCTCAATAAGAATTAAAAAATAGAAATACAATTGAAAATAGAAGAAATCAGCTGCGTCCATTTAATGTTATAGAAAATGTTGTTTCTTTTTATAAGGGGTGTTGAGTAAAAAAGATAAAAAGCGTACCTTTGGAAAAGTTTTAGTCACTTCCAAAATCTTTTGCAAATTTGTACCACTAACAACTTTCGTATCCAAGCAGGCGGACATGCTCAAATGCATTCCAAACTTTAAGTTGGCCAGGAATTTATATATAATATTTTATTGAAAAGAAAATGACATTTTAATACACGATAATATTGCGCAGGTGCGGGCAATTTTTTTCCATTTTCGTACAGGTGCTACAGCATACTCCGTAGGATGTACGGTTACATTTTTGTAGACTTATTTATTTTATTTTATGAATAATGAGCAAAAAAACCAATTTTTGATTTTTTTTGAAAAATAGAACTTTTTTCACTTTACGCAATACTTTCATCGAAAATCAAACAAAAAACCACATTTTGTAGAATTAGGGTCGTATCGGTTCGTCGAGAAGGTCGACAAAGTCGATATCGTGTGGCATACAAACAATCATTCCGTGTCGTATCGTAAGAAATCGGTATTTAATTTTGACCCTGAGAACAGCAAAGGAAGTTTAAGCGATAAAATTACTAGCGTGAATGTTGTGGCCCATGTATGTATACATACATCTTTCATATATTTCTTTCTAGGACGAATGTAATGGTTTTCTTGTCTTCTTGTCTTTTACAGTCGATCGCGTTAAAATCTAAAGATGATAGTAATTTTCAAAAAATGCTAGTCGCACGAACCCTAAAAATATATAACCCAGGCGTATCAATTACAAAAACAGCCGATGAATGGTTATTTACTGGTTACGTTGATCCCTTTCTAAGTTTAGGAAACCTGTTATCTAAATTTAATAAAGATGTGAAAATACCTTATGACCGAGTAGGCTACTTAAATACGGTTAGTCGTCAAGCAAATCATTTAATTGAGTTTTTCGATGATATTTTAAGAAAATCCTTGTTTCTATATAGCGCAATAATAGTGCGACTTATGATGGCCACTTTAATGTCTTCACTGGTGCCGATGATATAAGAAAAATGGGACAGATCCATACGTGGAATTACAAAAAGCATAGTAGGATATTTGAGGGTGAATGTGGTCAAGTTACAGGGTCGATGGGTGAGTTTTTTCCACCGATCTTAACACCTCAGGATACCTTGTGGCTATTCGTGCCTAATATTTGTCGAGCGGTACCTTTCGATTACACGGAAAGCGTGCAAATTCACAATGTTAATGCCCATAAGTACATCCTTGGAGAAAGACTATTGGATAACGGTAACTTACAAAAGAAATTTTTAAAAAACTCTTTCATAGTTTTACAGATTTTCGGATAAATATTTTTTAGGAACATTATTCCCTTCAAATAAATGCTTTTGTAAATGTGAGTGTTCCGGGGTGTTTAACATTGGCCCCTGCGCATACAATGCATGGATGTATATATCTTTGCCCAACTTCTATAAAGCCGATCCCTACTATTTGGATGCGATTGAAGGCTTGAAGCCAGAGAAAGAAAAGCATGAATTCTTTATGACCGTAGAGCCAAACTTAGGAGTTCCTATGGATGTAGGTGGGGGACTTCAAGGAAATTATCTTTTGGAACCAATAGAATATCTACCGTGAGTAAATTTGTTTTTATAATTTAAATTTTATCCTTTGTACGTTAATGATATTAATTAAACTTTAATTAATTATTAATCATATTAAGTTCAGTCCCTCTATTTATAGCTCAATTGAAATTATTTAATACTGTAAAAGCTCCTTATTCGCGCTTCCTTTATTCGCGGATTAAAAAAATACGACCCAATTTCCATATTGGCGGCTATAAGTTTCTTTATTCGCGGATATTTTGTGACTGGTTCCGGAATTGTTTTGCTGCTGAAGTTGAAACTTATTTAAAAAAACAGAATTTAGACTATAAAGCACTTCTAGTTTTCGACAATGCACCAGGCATCCTCGCGAACTTGAAACTATGCGTCCAAATATAAAAGTGGCATTTTTTCCTGCCAACACGACGGCTTTGCTTCAACCTATGGGGCAACGAATAATCCACGCCTTTAAGCTCTATTACATTAGACGAACCTTCAAAATCATATTGGATAATATGGAATGTTATCCTGATATGAATGTTATGGAATGCACGAAGAAATTTGACGTAGCAAAATGCATCGTAAACAACAAAGAATCATTGGAAGAACTGAAACCACACACATTGAAGCCATGCTGGAAAAAACTGGGGAACTGCTCTGACTGCGGAAAATGACGAAAAATCTGTGAAAGTTCAAACTTTGACTGCAAACATAGCCGAAATCGCGAATGGAAAAGGACGAGATGGGTTCGAAGATATAGAATCAAGTGACATTCAGGAATTATTTGAGTCGAAAGATGAAGATTTGACTGTAACCTACTTAGAGGAAATGCTAAATTCACCGCCCATTGAAGAAGAGGCTTCAACAAGCACTGGAAATGTGCCATTTAATTTGAAAAGTCTTAGTGAAGGTTTAAGAATGACAAACGAGCTTCGCGATTTCTTTATGAACATTGATCCGTCTATGGAACGAAGTCTTGTTTTTGTGAGGCAGATGGCTAATGCGACTGCTGCGTGTCAGTCAGAATTGAAGGAGCTTTTAAAAATTGCCAAGCAAGAGAAACTTACAAAATTCTTCAAATCATTGCCTAAGCCTTAAGATAATTATTCAAAATGTTCAAAAACTTTAATTAGATTTATTTTTTTATATAATTGATTTTATTTTATTTTGTCATCTAGGAACGCATCCCCTAAAATCCCATATAAACTACCATTCCGTTTTCACGGTTTCTTTTTTTATTTTGTCACCTAGGAACGCATCCCCTAAAATCCCATATAAATTACCATTCCGTATTCACGGTTTCTGTATTCGCGGCATTTTTATGGATCGTATTACCCGCGAATAAACCGCTATTACTGTATTTGTCATTTACTGCATTTTACTGCATATTACGCGGACTATGGATAACAATTTATGGCCTTTATATCCTACACTGCTTATGGTACAGATTGCACTAAGTTTGCGCTGATGTATGTAACGTTCAGAGGGACTTAAGCCAGACATACAGTTTATTCTACCGATCGACTCAGAATCATTTTCTGATTCAATTTAAACATGTCTGTCCGTCTGTCCGTCCAGGTAATCTTGTGTTGAACCTATAGGGCGTAATTTTCGGGTTTTTTTTTAACGTTTTCGTCCAAGGACGACTGTTATTGAAAATGGTTCAAGTTACACGCATAAGGGTTGCTTGCTTAACTTCGATTATTTTCTATCATCTGTTTGTTGTCCACTTAAGCATCTCCCGAATCGTAAAAAATTTTGAGCGGAAAATGTTGTTACTTGGAGAAAAAGGTACCGTTAGAGAAAAGGTACCGTTGGCCTCAGGACTATTAACAAATAATTAAGGCGCTCTTGATCCGTGATGAATTGTGTGCAATCTTTCGTCGTCTGATGCAAGCAGTGTGATTATATCCAAATATCAAGTAAACAATTTAGGGAAAAGAACAGCACCGAAAAATATGAATCAGAAATATGATGAAACATATATATATATATGTATATTTTTTTAGTCGACGTAAGATTTAAAGTCTTCATCGATTTAGGCCAAACTGTCCGTCCATCCGTGTAGCCGCATTTGCCTGTTATTGGAACACCCAAAGTAGGAAAAATTGCAGAAGAAAACTAAGGCTTGGCACTTATACGCTTACCTGATACTGCAAGTTAAAAAAAAATGGCAAAAAGTAACTCACTACAAATATCCATATAAAGTTTATCGCAAATACTTAGTTACCCGAAACTTGGCATGGCTATCCCAAAAAGCACCCACAATAAGTCATGCATGTAAATCTAAAAAAAACTTGACAGAGCTATCTAATACGAGAAATGCAACACGCTAATTGCCAAGCTGCCTCAAACCACAGCAAGATTTATTCACTTTTTCCATTGTATTAACTTTTTATGTAAGGGATATGTCCCTTACTTCCTAAAAGGCGTTTGTTTAATATTCATTCTTGTTATTTTGTTCTTATTTTAGGCCTTTTGATGGTGTACAGCGCGCATTTATGCCACTAATGTGGGGTGAACAAAGAGTGCGGGTCCCACCTGAAATGGCGGAAGGTATTGGTTTGGTGCCGCTGATCATACTAATTGGTCACATATTTACTGGGACATTATTAGCCCTTGGATATTAATATGCTGGTATCCTGCGAAATCAATAACATCCAACTATTTGTGTTCCAAACAAAAAGTAGGCTTTTTAAAACGAGCTACTTCGAATACGAATACGAAAACAACATCGTTACCACGGAAATCGTCAAGCGATTTAGAAAATACAGATTTGCTGCAAAAGAACAAAATCATTATTTTAGGAAGTTAAGTCTCTATAACTGTAGTGTAACTTAAATACATCGTTTCGATTTTAGCTAAAGTTATAAGTTTAAGGTGCACTGCGTATGTATTTTTTAAGGGAATTGAAATGTTTGTTTATTCAATAATTGATTTTTTTTAGTTACGGGATTTTTTTAAAAATAAACTGATTAAAATTACACCTATGCTAGCTAAACTGAAATATTAGTTTGGGGAAAAAGAAATCCATTATTTTCTCGGTAGATGGCCCAGGAGCGAAAAATCGACCATAAAACAGTTTTAAACCATTTACACAAAGCTGGATTCAAAAAGAAGCTCGATGTTTGGATGCCACACCAATTAACAGAAAAAAACATGATGGATCGAATTTCCATCTGCGAAGCCTTGGCCAAACGGAATGAGATAGACCCATTTCTTAAACGGATGGTGACTGGAGATGAGAAATGGATCACATACGATAACCCTGTGCGAAAACGATCGTGGTCAAAGAGCGGTGAAGCACCTCAAACGGCCAGGAAGGTTTTGCTATGCATTTGGTGGGACTGGAAGGGGATTATTTATTATGAGTTGCTTCCATATGGCCAAACGCTAAATTCTGATCTCTGCTGTCAACAACTGGACCGTTT